GTCACACAAGATGTCTTTCTAGCGGTAAATTAGTTATTAAAGTGCGTCTTAGTAATGAGTTAAGAATAAGTCTCTCTAATGATAAATTAAGATTTATTTTGCTCGTAATAAATGAAGAATAATCGTTAAGTAGACCAAAAGTAGGCGAGAGCTAGTAAAATGATACAACCTGGAATCAATTACAAGGAATTGTCCGTCTACAATAATAAAATAGCATAAAAATAAAAATATAATATAAAATATATTTTAAAATTATTATAATTATATTAATTTTAATAAGTAGAATTTTTGCTTGAAGATATTAAAGCAATACGCACAAAGTAATGAATATAGAAGAATTGCAAACGTGATTGGAAAAATAACCACTAAAATTATTACTCAGAGAGTTATTTTTTCGTTTAAGAAATATATTGCTGCTATTGATTCCTTTTCCGATTGCCACATGACTTCAAATGTACACTTAATAACCATAGTGCTTTCTTTGGGAATGGTACGTAATTTCTCCAGAGATTTCCCGAAACCGCCGTATTGCGGCGCGTTCAAGAAGAGCTTCCGTCCAAAAATATATATAACCCGCTTTTGTAGCCGAAACAAATCTAAACAATTGGTATCATTGCTGATCAAAATTTCATTTTGCGATAATATATATAAATGTCAAAACCAACGCAATTTTTCTGTATAATTCCTCTTTGTGAACTGCTGTTATAGTTGTTTTGATCATTTGCATGTAATTAATTCTAAAACATTTCAATACAGGTAAATAAAATACTTCAACGATTTTAATTAATATCGCGTAGCACGTCCTTCTGGCGACTTAATTAAGATTTATTTCACGTAATTAGCGGAGAATAATCACCAAAGTAGATCTAAACTAGATGAGAACTAGTAAGATGACACTATTAATACGACCCTTAAATCATATCATTTTTCCGCAACATATCTTACAGAGTTTGCAATTTATACCTACACAAAATTAAGCACCTGACACACGTATCGTGTAAATTTATTTATCGCTTTGCAATTGTGTAGCTTGCGATTTATCGTGCATAATTAGTAAAGATTAATTATGAAATATCGATTAGTGGTTCGTGAAAAGTTTATCCCGCGTATAAAGTACGCGTGTGGATTCGTAGGTATATATTAAATATTTAATATTCCGTAATTAACTCTCTTCGATAATACAGCACGCTACACTGATACAAAGGTGCGTCCAAAATCAGCGCAATGTATTCGCCGTAAATACCTCTCGCAACAGAACCAACGTGATTTGCGCTTTAGTTGACTTTAGACTATGCAAATCAATCGCTCCCAAAGCCAAACCCCAAAGCAATCGCATTCACCTCTCTCCCCGTGAATGAATCACGCCGTGACGCGTCCATGTTCGAAGAATGGCATCGAGTTAAGAGCGATAAAAGGGATGACACGATGTTTCTCTCTCACTGCGCTAAAGACTGTGTGCACCGTATTTGCGATACCGTCAGATTACGTCGTTCGTTCGCCGTCGTGTGCGATGCGGAATCGCAATCCGATGCGGGCGAACGACGGATGGCGATGTCCTGCTTTTATTTATTGCAACCCGTCGATTTTGAACATTTATCAGAGCTCCACACGCGTACGCGCACGTGAATTCAATGCAGCGAAATCTCTTTTGCATACGCCCGTAACGTAGACTTTATTCATCTCTCTTACACACACGCGCGAATATATCATACTTAGAAAGCTATTTCCGAACTTGCGATAAATGGAAAGCGAACGTGGATATAAAATTCGTGAAACTATTTCCAACGAGTGATTATATAAAAATCTCTACATCTTCATTTTTTATATATAAAATGAGATAAATGGTGCGAAGATGGTTTTTCCGTAGAAGTGATTTACAACCAACCTAGATTTATAATGCCATACGTATTTACATTCTTTTAGTCTTATTCTTAGTTCTTAGGATAGGAGTTTAAGAATAATGCAAAGATATAATTTAGATATAGGCTCTTCTGTCAATCTAACAAATTAAAAATATTAAGGAGCTAATTAGAGCTAGGACACAGTGCTTAACATTACTAATTATTAATTAACGTACAAACGTTTCAGCACATTGGTTTCGGTCTTCAGTGTACAATTCAAACAATTACATAAATTTATGACATAGTATCTATATCGTTAAACGCAACGTATTTTCGAACGAGGTGAGGCTGCCATCATAATTGTTGGTCAAATTGAATGAAATTCAATGTAAAAGAAACAACTAATAACTAGTTATTGTTACATTGAGTTTTACCGTAACTTAGCTAACTGTAACTCTTTATAATTAGTTATTAGGAGTTTAAGAATTGTGTGGATATAAAAGCAGAAAAAAAAACAGAAGGAAAGGGATAAAGCTGATCACAACGATCCGTCGAAGGTGCTTATGAAGGGAATCATCCGCATTTTGTGTAATTGGATTCTCTTTGCGAGGGTTGCGAGGATCGTCCATACCATCCGTGAAAGCAAAGAACGAATAAAGATCACTAGTTACCTCGAATTTCGAGCGGCAGGCTTACAATAATATCTACCGAAATTAAGAGCAGCTTGTCTGGTTTGCTCGTTGCGATAATATACGCTAATTTTACTCAAGTGTTATCATTCATTGTTAGTATCAAATATTCAAGATTTTACAAACGCTTTTATGATTTTCTCCCGGATTCTGGGATGCAAATTTTAGAAATGAGAAAACTTTAACGTATAATATGAAAATAAGATGAGAGAAAGCGAATTAATGTAACTAATTATAATACATACACACACACACATATGCACAATTGAATTTATTAAAATTAAAGAAATTATATGTAATGTTAATGCCATACATAGTAATTTTTTATATAAAATTTTCTCCGTGTACATAAAAGAATGTACAAAAAATAATTTGCATATTTCATCTTTTTATAATAATATAATTTTGGAAAAGAAAAGAAACGTTTTTCCACACAAGATATAAAGTATTTTATTCAATATATTAAAAATGCAAATAGAGATATCTAATCTCTTTTTTTTTTTATTCAAGATAATCCAAAAGAAATGAAAAATATGCAAATATCTATTTCATATATCGCACGCTATTTGAATGCATGTCATCTTAAATGTCACAAAGTTGCTGACATGAAATCAAATATCTCGAAAGTATCGCTCTTAGGGAAGGGATAGAATATAGTGTACGATGATGCGACGTCAGAATTTCGAGTAAAATAGCGCAACTACTGCTAAACGATAAATTGCTTCTAGTCGAGCTAAAGTCTGTTTCTAGATGTGAAGTAAGGAAGAAACTTTACTGCTGATGTTTACGCAACGTAATGCCCGCATGTATAGGTTCTGAGAGACAAACTCGAATATAATTTTCAGCATGTTACACGGATCATCCGTAACGTCAGCGCAACACCACCGCGAAAACTCTAGCAATATGATAAATGTTTTCCCAAGATACGTTTCTTTCGTTGAGACATTTATCTCGTGGGGCGCAAGAGGTGTATACATGAATGGCTTCTTACGAGAATACCGGTGAAAGAAATCGCGTCCCCTGAGAAACATGAAATTCAATCAGGGATCACATTAGAAAAACGACGATCATTCATTTCATCGTAATAAATGAAGTGGATGATATCAGAAGGAATGTTGAAAGTGAACATGCTATAAAGAGAAACTTCATATTTTTTTCTAAGAAATAATCGATTCATGTGACGTCCGCAGTTTACGTACCCACTATATATATATATATATATATATATAACATATATATATATAACAGTTACAATACAAATTACGTAATTATAAAAAAATGTATATTTACATGTTCCTCAATTCATTCTTAAATGCTTTTACTTTATTTTAGCGCAATTTTTTATCAAAAGTAAAGATATTTATTATTGAAGCTATTTATCATTCGTTATTCGAAAGTGACATGAATACTTATACGTCGATCTAAGAATATACATCGAGTTTCGACCCAGACAAATTTCCATCTAAAACGGCAACACTTGGCGGGTTCTTTGAAGGCAGAAAAATATCTCGAGCCCGGTTACATTTCGTTAGAAAATCAATTTACGCCAGGAGAGGCCGATGTCGTGTCGGAACTTTGGCGTGTGAAATGAGCCCTACTTTGCTCAACCGATGTGACTCTTAAATATGTAAAGGCACATAGAATGACATACGGCAAAGTTGGAAATTGCAAGGATACCGTAGGTTGTGTTGTTTAGTCGATAGCCATAGCGGAATTTTAACGTATCCTACACATCCACCCTCGCCGCTCTATTTCCGAAAAAGTGTCACCAGCTAAAAATGCGCCGCGGCATTTCACAGCCCGAGCATCGAACGATTTCGTTCAAGTGACTCTCCGCTTTTATCCACCTGGACAATACACGTCATCGTATGCATATACGCTGGACTACTCGTTGCGGACACCCTGTAGCGTATACGTCGAACTCTTGGTCGATGAGAGCAATCGAATTGACGCCCGCGTTGATGACTTTTCACGCGAGAAAAATGATGCAGTGAGATGAGGCAATTTTTCATGCATTGTTAGGAATTATGTTCTGGACATACTGCGACTTATATTATACAGGGTGTCCCAAATTAACTGTATTATCCATTAATAATAGATTGAAGTTATTTGGAGACGAAAATTTTTATGCCAAAATGTCGAGACTACAGTAATTTTTAAATGCAAAATGTTTAAATTTGACAATCAGATCGTCAAAAATTCACGCGTAAGTAATTATTTATTATTATTTGCAAAATATTGCACATAAAATAGTATGTAATGTAACGCATATAGAAATTTTTTTTAAATATACAGTGAAAAATTTGCAATTTTTAATATTTAAGGTTATTAGATATAAAGATGTAATTCTTTTATTTGACATTTACATAAAGAATGAGTAAAAGTTTAATGTGCGTAATAATTATATTTTTCACAATTAAATGATTATTTTAAACGGTACTATAATTTAAATTCACTTTCTATGTTACAGACATCATCTTGTAAACAACTACTTCGCTGCGTATCGTGTCGGTAAGTCAGTCCAATTTGTTTTCTCTTAATAATAAAAATTTAAATAATATAAAATAAACAAGATGTCTTAGAGACTAACCGTATCACCAGTTAATTAAAGCAGATTTCTGAAGTTTTTTATATGGTAAAGATATAAGAATTAATATGCAACGTACCTATCCGTCTGAATTTTTGACAATTTAATTGTTAGCTTTGAACATTAAAAAACTGTTATAGCCTCGACATTTCAGTATAAAAGTTTTTATCTCCAAATGATCTCAGAAGTCTGCTATTAACGGGTGCTACGGCTGGTTTTACACTCTGTATATACTCTTTCTTGTATACGAAAGAGAAAGTAGAAGGAGCAAAAAAGGAGAGAGATAAAGAGGATGCCGGAATGAAGATATTACTCTAGGGAGAGTCGTGACATTCCAGTTTAATGGTTTACAAATATAATTACAGAGCGCTTAACTTAACTATACGAGCAAATATTCGAAGTCGGATTTTCATAAAGAAATTTTTTTTCTGCAAGTCTCAAGGAGGTATTCTTTTCTAAAGTTCAAAAAAGAAGTTTGTTTTAGAAATATTGTTTCAAAAGATCACATATTATTCAAAAATATTGCGCATATTTGCAAAATTTCCGTGAGATTTTGTATAAGAGAAAGTTGATAGTTTCAAAGTTCTGAAGTATAACTTTCTTAATTTAAGCGTAAATATGTCTTCGGAAGTTTGGAAAGTACAACTTTTTTACGAATGCAAAAGTTTCGATAATGTTTTCTTTCTTCAATAAATTAACGATTAGTCCTGAAGTCTTTTGAGTCTGTGTCAGAAAATTATACTAAAATTTGGGCGAAACTTTGTAGAGAAGGAGCAAATTGATGCGGAATGAAATGAGAAAATAGTTTCTTCCTCTAAAACATTTAAACGAGTTTTCTCTTACGCTAAATTGGTAAAGGGATTGTTACACACACTGTTTCCGCAATAATATTCCCATTTAAATTTCTATAATTTGAAATACTTATTCTTTTAAAAAGTTAATTTAATATTTATCAATATGTGTTGATGTACATAAATAATTATTTTAATTAATTTTATGTAAAGTATGTCATTATATCTTTACTAATTCAATGTTGCAATATCGTATTCGTCAAAACAATACATTCTAAATATGTATATATACAATTTTAATGTTGCGATGTAATTACATATCACATAACTGTATCGGATTCGTTCGTATCTGCTACGACCTACAGCGTAATTTGTGCATATCGTGAATTGCTATGATTTATGTTTATGATGACTCTTAAATTGCCTACATATAAATGCAATTATTCAGTCGGAACGAATAGCAATTCCATGAATTAACAATCATCGCGACTGACGTGCAACCTATTTCGTTTTAAAATTTCTTTAAATTATGCTATAATAAAACGTTCATAACTTTAACATCATGTCAAATCTCATAGTTGACCACTTTCACAAATGACAATTAGTATTTTATGCATTTTTTAAAATACTTTTCAATAATTTATTTTGTTTTATAATACAATATTATATATTTTACGTCTGTGCGTGTAAACTGCATTGACTCCAGTATCAGCGGTTTGCAATACAAACCATTGCGTTTTAAGTATTAAATACGTCAACTCTCTCGAGTAATTACTCAATATGTACGTTCAGAATTTAATTTGTTAGATAATTATTGACTTTATTCATTCCGGTATGCTACTCTCGGTGATATGCGCGGCCGCAATCTTCCGTCCAACGTCCAGCGTCGTCGCACACTCGCAACGGGTATACATATCGAAGTGATTTGCGTGTAATCGTACGAACATTGTATCCATTCAAAGCGAATTCTTCTATTGATGGCGAGAGAAAAATTTGCGGAATCTTGCTGAGACGTCGAAAGTTCGCCGCGTTGCTGCTCGGATAAGGCATTGAAAAAATTTACGAAAGTTTTTGCATTAAAGCATTATATACAGCAAAGGTCAACTATGTAAGATGTTTGATAAATCTTTGAGATTTGTACGGTCTAATTCTTCGAGTGACAATAAAATAACGATTAATAAAATTTAATTAAAATTACGGATTATATCGAAAACGGTTTAATCGCGCCAGCGTAGTCCGTGCGATAAAATCAATGCTTATCCTCCCGGATACTTTATTAAAATCAACAAAAGATGGGTCACAATGCATTTGCTGCTTTGTGGAATACATTACATGTTAATGCACTGCCGAGGCTATTGTATGAAATAAAGAATTAATAAACACAAGCGCGAGGAAATAAATATCGGAAAATCGATATCAGCGAGTACGCGACATAGAGCGAATTGTCGAGCTTGATAGATTTTACAAAAATAGAAAACATAATGCAATGATATAATATTATTGAAATGCTATATTGTTTTTGATTAAGGTACGTAAGACTATTATTACGTCATGCAAGAAAGATATACGCGTCCTATTATAAATAACGTAACTAAAATGTGAATTTGGTTGCAAACATTAGTACAGCGGATTCTATTACACTAAAAATCTTAGTAAAAAAAATAAATTTTAATAAAAATGATAAATGATACTGAGCATGTTGCAGACCCATTTCACTTATACTATTATACATGTTTTTACATGAATTTATATATGATATTTTAATATCTATCGATGCATCCAATTGTATTTATTAATAGGTACGCAAAGCAAAAGTACTACTTTACCGCATTCCATCATTGCTTGGAACACAGACAATCAGTATCATACCGCACTTTGTAAGCGGATGAAATGTCGCGCACATATGCGTGTTTGTCGTTTTAGCTCCAAATCGAATAATGGCATTAGTGATTCTCGTTACAAGGCACTTATATAGATTGCACGGGTTTCGCGTATCAAATTCCTATTTCTGCTATACCTTTGACCGAGGCAATATGGCAATTGCTATTCAAAGCGAGTTTGGCGTAAGAGTATACTGCGCCTCGGCATTGCATATTGACGGCTTGCACGACGAAATTTATTTTTCACACGCAACGGTTTATAAATCGAATTTCACGACATTTTGCAAAGTGAATCAAAAATTGTATTTAACCCGGTCATCCTTTATTCCATCTGCAGATTTGATTTTCCACAATCCGTTATACATGTCCCATGTGTATAAATGTCATGTCCATACATCTGTTACACTTGATCGATCAAACTTCCTGGGGTGTATTCACGTTCAGACCCTGATGTTGAAATTTGTACAAAACAGAAATAGCATAAATTGAAAAATTTCTAGGCGCATAAGTGGAATATCGTTGTATCATTTTAATTTTGTTATAATTTGGTTATACATATATATGAATTTGATTTTAATGACTTGGCGACTGATGATTAGCTAATTCTAATCGTACGAATAAAGCGGCGGAAGAAAAGCCAGTTCAATTGTCCATATTGTCGTTGATTTTATTCGATGATATCAGCGTGTAATTTCGATAAAATCGATTTTCCAATAATTGCCACGCTGCTTCTGCAGATTCAATAAGTGCACGTACTTAGGGACACATATCACGCAATTACAGATTGTGTACTTCTCAATGAAAGATACGAAACAACGTATTAAAAAGCTACGGCTAATCTTGAATTTAATCCTATATCACAGGAATTGTGTAGGTATTTATAATTGCAATTAGGGCACGTCAATTTAATCTATAGAAAAAGAACCTGTCAGTTCTAATAAACAGTTATAATGAGATTTGCTGCGCAACGAGAGTATTGCGAAACTGCAAAATATTTCCTGCAATATGGATTTACGCGACCAATATTATTATTTATTTGTCACAGTGACAGTATCAAATCGATATTGCATTAAATGTGCGTCGAGTGATCGAACAGTCGTAATTAAAACATCAATTATACACATATGAGTGTAGGTAATATAGACAATATTAATTATATGTGATGTAAATGATCGTAATGTAATAATTTCCCATTGCCGTGCGTAACGTTGAATGGAATTATTTACTTCGACGTACTGAGTAACTAACAAAAAATAGCTTGCAGTTTACGGAATTAAAAGAATTTTTTTTAATTCTACTTTATTTCTCCTCTGCGAGGTTCTATTACCTCTGATTGAAATTACCGCGTTCAATAATTCTACAGCGCATTAGTAGGACGATGAATCCTATGGAGTGGCGGTGACCGGCTGTCCATTCCCGTGAAATGCTAATGCCTTCCACAAGCTTGTTACAGTGAGGCAATCACGATACCAATATGCGAAACTGATAATGGAAACGGGAGGTCGCGAGGCATCGCATTCACTTCCACACATCGTTCCATAATTCGAAAAAGTCATTTAAGAAGAAGGAGGCGTGTCCCTCGTGTTCGTTCCCTCGCGAAAAGCCTGATCGATTTAACGACAAGCATGCCGACGCGAGCGATGCCACAAGTTTCGAAAGTGTTAAAGTTTAAACGTATTCCGCGAAAGGTTAAACGATCACAGGCGTGCGCGTCTCTCTAAAGAACTTTATTTTCAACAGAAAGAGAGAATAGATAAATTTTTATTTAAAGATATTTTCGTGCCATGTAATGCAATTTCAGCATTAGTAATATAAAATAGCTCTCTTAATGCTGAATAAAAACAGGAAGAAATGTAATATCGACTCGTCCGCAGAATAAGTTGAATCCGCTAATACGTATCTGCTCGGTCCGGCGTGTTAAAGTCATTTTCTAAGTGACGTAGACCGTGCTTTGATCCAACTGATGGATTAGCTCCACGGTGCTTTAATAATATTAAATCGTTAATACTGCCCGAGCGACGTCAGCGAAACCGTATTTTTGCGTTGACGTGTATTCGGAATACGTCTATAGGCATTACATCAGAATACGCAGGGATCAACGAATGGTTTCGAGCGTTCCATTTGTGGATAGATGTGTATTAGCATTTGTAAGCTTTGATAACTAACATAAAGGATCTTCCTTTATGTTAGTCTAATTAGGAATTATCAATTTCATTAATGTCCATTTGACGTACCGACGCTCCCCAATTATTACTCTGACATCGCGCTTATTAAGGATATTAATGAGACTTATCTTTAAGACTCCTCGAAGCCCTTAAAATTTATTGAGTACATACAACGATGTTCCATTCTATATACACATATACACACGATGGTATATAGTAAATAAAAGATATTTTCTACGTAATCATCATTGTAATAATGGATTTTTTTGTTGAATATTTATAAGATTACAATCTTGAACTACTATTGATTCTCTGTTAGTAATGTTGTAGTTGAATTTACGATAAGGTATACATTTGTTCTATAATACGATATACCAATTTCAGGAAACATAAAGAAACGCCTTTGAAGAAATCTTTTTATTATTGTTACTAAAAAAAACTACTGACGGTCGAGTAATTTCTACTTTAATTCAGTATTCCTGTGTACAACGCAAAATAGTTCTTTATGCGACTGTAATAAATTATTGTAAGTAGATTGCCATTGAAAAAGATTTAAAAGCAGGTCGAAACGTTTGATAAATCATACTCATTTAGAATTTGAATAGTGTACATATCGATGCATGTGAAATTTAGATTTTTATTGGCCTTTTAATTTCACTCTAAACTGAAAATTTAAGAGCTTTTATATTAAACAGGCAAGATAAAGGCTCTTCTGATACGCGATCGTAATAGATAATATTATTAAAGATTAATGAATTAAATTTAAGTCATATATATTTTTTCTGCATCCTTATTAAAAGATTCAAAGGTAATTTAAATTCGCGAGAACATACTCTACTGTCAGTGGATGACCTTGTTAGGAACCTTGCTATTTCGCTCGCGCTGTTAGGAAAACTTCCCTCCCATGCGTGAAAGAAAAGCATCACTCGTTCAAGGAACTTCCAAGCTTCATGATTGCGAGCAGTTTCAGCTTTCGTTTGCTCCGTACTTTGCTCCGATTTCCGTAATCGTTTGCTTTGCCAGCTTTCTTCCTAATTTCAAAAGTCTTAAGGATAATTTTTGCAAACTGTATCTTTGTTTAACTTAATCCTTAAAGAATAACTATAAGATCTTGCAGGAACTGAACTTTCTCTTAAGTGTGCGCGTGTGTATGAGAATTTCTCGGGATGTGCATCTTTAACTGTATGATCATGGAAATGGCATCGAATATCCCATGTTTTACAGCAAATGTGAAATTGCAAGTGCCCGGATGGATGGCATAAAGAACTAACGTATATTTTTCTCCGTGTCGGTGGACGATGCCGGGTGAAAGTTAAAGATCGATCGATTTAACTTCTTCAACTAGACTGTTCGTTCTTTTTCGTCGCTTTCCGCCCACCGAACCATTCTGTTCTCGAGAAGCAGAGGTTTTTCGGTCCATTGAATCGCATTTTTTGTTCATTAATTTTTAAATCTTCTGTAACGGCCATGCTTCAGAGAATATTGTAATAAATGGGCAAGAACAGGGGAAATACTTTCAAAATAAATATATTTATAATTTTTATATGCATCTCTAATTAATGCCGTTTTAATCATCGTTGATTTAAGCAGTTCTACTTTTTTTTTTAAGCAAAATCAATGACACATCAAGATCACACTCTAGGGCGTTTTTAATTTATCAAACTTTAGATCATCATAAAAAGATCATGATATATAAAATAACTTGCATCTCAAAGCAACTATTCGTCGACCATGAATTTTTACGCAATGTCGACTCGACAAGAACGTGCAAGGTAGCCGGATCATAAACCGAACGGTTCTTACGTTTTACGATTCTCCCGAGTCTTTTTCCGCTTTGCAGGATACCCCTTCACTTGCGATCGAGATCAGTAGACTTTACTCTTGCAACGAAAACTTGAACGATAGCTCACGATAGGATCTGTCATGATGCAAACACTGATCTGCCTTGTATTGATCTTCCTCGATAAAGTTAAATGATTTTTGTTGTATGTACACTTCTCCTTGTTATCTTCACTTACCGCATCCAGTGCAATGCGGCGAGAATCAGTGTGAATGTTGTTGACTCGGACAATATTTGGAGTTTGCGCCTGATTGTAACCGTATTCATCAAACGCGTTACACCGGTCTGCATGCAAGCATACCACGCTCTAATAATCACCAAATACAGTAGATGATCCATATCTATGGTTGTGAAGGCTATCCATCTTAATTTCGAGGGATTAAAAATGCGATAACGCTGTTTATTAGCGCTACTTCCGCGCATTAATCATTGCCAACTTTTTATTTCCACCTCCTATTGCTTGTTATGCAACATTACGACTACAAGAATAATGTAACCAAGGAAGATAGATATATCAGTAATGAAATACTTTTAATATCGTACGCAAGTATGTATGTATACGCGACAGAATGACAATGTCTGTCTTTATTCTAGTTGACTCAATTCCGGTATTTACATATTTGCATATGTAAATCCATTTCATATTAAATCAATTACTGTACAATAATTGACATTTTTGTACAATAATTTTTCAAGCCAATTTACGTACAATTTTATTATTATATTTTATTATGACTTATAAAATAGAATGTAATGTTGTCGACGTAAGTCATAAATGTGAAGTGTTTATTGCCATCGAAGGCCATAACCTTGGAATAGATTTTTATTCGGAAACTTCACGCCAAAAGTTTGATAGAACGACCTCGCCTTCCAGAGGAGATTGCTATCTTATCTGCCGTAAAAGTATTTATTATTATAGTAATAACACGTTTAAGCTCTTCACGCTTACGGAGTTTTCATCTTTTTCGGTACACATTTTTCGGATTTGCCTTATTTAAGCGGATTTTCTACTCTAGAACTTTTAAAAATCGATTTTCTTGCATTTCTTAAATATTGAAGATCTTTGAAGTAAAGTTCTAAAAGATTTTTTTAATACAAAAAGATAATGAAGCTATATACATTTATAAACTGCGATGTGATAGACAAATTATATTAGTATTCAAAGCTTTAAATGCAAAATTATTTTTTTGCAAAATTAAGTTGATTAAGTCAATTTCTTAAAATTATTAAATCGATTAATTTGAAAATTTTTTCTACACGAGCACATATTTCCAAACCGCATAAAATTATAACGACATTTTGATATTAAGAATTTTTTATAACTGTTAAAATCAAAATTTTGAATAAAAAGTTAATATGCACTTTGAAATTTTGCTGTTACGAAAATTTTCAAATTTTTTGTTTTTATTCTCCCCGATACAAATTATAATCACCCTATGATTAATAAAAATCTTGATTTTTTTAATTTAAATGAATTGCTGCATTTAAGAGAAAATAGAATTTTTTTAAGCGTTATATTTTAAACTGCAAAACTTAAAAAATATTTAAAATTTTTTCATCTAAAAATCTCATAAAGACTTTAAATATGAATAACTATGTATGCAAAATTTTTTACACATATGTAATAATTTATGTTAACAAAATTCCCCAAAATAGATTACTTTTTTGTGCTTTAAAATAGAATACCTATTCAAATTTGCCAAGCACACTCTATGTCATGCTGGAAATTTTAATACAATTAGCATTGTATTTGAGAATAAACTTTTTTAAGTTCGTAAATTACTCTTCTTTATCTGCGGCACGAAATCGTAAAACAAAATTATGAAAATTGTTTAGTTGCTTGTGAACTTTTCCTGGACGTCTTCATTAGATTTAAAGAGTTTTATAGTGAATTTTTGATAAATGTAATTGTTTGATGTCCACAATTAGGGCAACGCAGCCGTTGATAGGACAAGCCGAGAGTGCGATCAATATGAGATTGTTCTTTCCGGCGCACATACCGCTGGGGCGGCGATACTACCATGACATGAAAGAAATATAGAACTACATTTTCAGCCGGATGCTATCAAGGCCGTGCAATGTGCTATCACTTTTCGTATATATCGATGCCAGTGAAAAGCTATCCCATTTCGCGGCCCGCGTAGAAAGCGAAGATCCGAGCCGACGTGCCTCTCAAATTTCTACTTCGCAAAACTTTGTCTACTATCGAGCTGGCGTTAGTCCGATATTAACACACGGTGTTCGGTTTTCACTCGATACGCGACATTTTGAGTAGAGAGGGACGAAATCAATAGCAAACTCGTCAAAGAATCTACAGTCAAGAGGAGGTGCGCAACTTCCGCTGATATACAAGGCGCGCGCGAAACAGCGAAGCTACAGCATTAACAATAGCTGCGTAACTATGTGCGCTAAACCTGAGTTTCTGAAGGAAGGGGAGGAGAACCATCAAGAAGGTACAGAACTGCGAGGCCAAGTTTCGTGAGGGTTTTTGCGAAATGCAACGTACACCGCATGATCGAAACTTGTACCGCAACCACCATATACCGAGTCAACTGTTTCTCGTTTTGCGTTACCGGCGATGAATGTGAGTTTACTGTTTCACACAGAACTCCCATTCGTTCGCACGCTTATTTGCTCATAAGTTATGGGCGATAGTGAACGATAGCAACTTCATTTAAATGTCATTTCCGTTCGCGAAAACGCGATGTAGGCGGCTATTGGCGCGCGTCATGAATATGCATTGCTACGAATAAACGGATTTTTACGGCCACGCGAGGGAAGTCAACGGCAACGTATCTTTCGTTTTGCGTTTTATGTATTACGAACGTATCTTTGTTTTGCGCCTCAAAAATAGATCAGAATAAACAGGGCAACGTTTTCCTACGATCGTCTAACACAATAAGCAAAAAAAAAGCTCTTTCGACAGAGATTATCATTTGATTTGAAGATTATCGTTGTATTCACGTTATATTCATAATGATAATTGACGTCGAAACTTTATGAAAAATTCATTATGATATGAATGATTCAAAAACATTTTAGCCCAGTTATTATGCAATAATCTTTAAAATGCTAATAAACTCCGTGCGCATTATCAAACGTTATTTCGAATCCAGTCGGCTTGTAAACTCTATATCGTTTCGGAATATCTCTCTAAATTCACCGAATAATATCTCCTGTATGCTTTCGTGTGTATTATTACGCGGTAGAATATGTGCTTACCAAGTACCACCTCCATTAGTGCATGCCTGCTGATTGGAAGAAGGTTCCTGTTGCGTACAAACAATGCAACCTTCCGCGAATACAAATTCCCCACGAGATTTATGCGATACCGAATACATAGTTTCGGAAATTCGAAAGGCGAATCTTTGCGTATAATTATTATTTTTCTCTATTATGCCGCATTATTTTGCGAAATATTGGATTCAGGATCCGAGATAACTCAACGAGACACAGATCTGCGACAAATGAGATGCACAGGCGGAACGATCCGTCATTAATCATCCGTCGCAGGTCAGGGTGAGACTTCATCGATCTTCTCAGCCGGATGACCAACAGTGGTAAACCATCTTGATACTAGTATCGCGAAACCGATGATCGAATAATGTACTTTAACTTGAAAAAAAATTCCCAGCTTAGTTATTTGTGATATTTTTCTTAATTTTTTAAATTTCTTTTATTAATTTATGAATAATAGTTAAAGTATTTCAAATTGGAGAACGATATTTTATTCACATTAATAACTAGGCTTTAAATACAAAAAAAAAGTGTCATGTAATTTTTAAAGCTTTTATTTTCATTGAAAAAACATTTGTTTTGTGTCACGAGGCTGCCGCTTATTTATACGAACGGTAAGCGAGTGTCCCATCTGTTGTAGAGCTATTCACGAAGATGCGGTGCAAACGCAGCGTGTAACGTCCACCGGCTTTAGCGGTAACGCAAAATTCATTACCAACAATTATGGCTGTTATTACGTTCACCGGTATTCTCGAGAATTATGCGCATTAATTGTGAGATTAGAACAGAGCAAGCGAGCCAAAACCCGAATTATTTTCACGTAAATCGAACGATTTATTAACTGACGTGCATGTGACAAATTAATTGCGTTGCGGAAATGTAATTAAAAATAACAACGTTGTTCAATTTTTTTAACGTTACCTGTTCTTTATTTCTTTCTCGTTTTTCTTCACCTTTGGAAGTAAACGACAAGTTGCATTTTCTTGTCATTTTTATTATTAAAATTTTAATAAAAACAAAAACGGAGCATTTTATGCAAAATGCTATTGACTTGTATCAAAGAAAAATATTATATTACGTGCGCCCTACTTTAGGAGCATATTTGATTTTGAAATTAATTTCAAATAAATATATTGTGGTAACTGATATTGTTTAATTAAATTACGTAAATTTTTGCACGGGAAATTTAATCTCGATTCCGCCTCCGGTTTTGCTTGGACGCAAATATTGATTAATATCGTGTGCTTTTTTCAATTTTTTATATTTCCAAGAACTTTTAATGATACGTTGAGAAAATTGTCGTGCAAACATTTAGTTGGAATTCACTTGACGCTTAATGATCGTAAGAATTGAGCTCATTACTTTTATCAATTCCATGATTTCCTCGGATCAGAGTCGATCTTTTCATGCTTTTATAACTCATTAGCGCTGGAACAACATCGGCGTTTATCTCTATTACGTCGGAGCGTTATTGAGAAATTGAGAATCCCGTATTGGCAGGCCATCGATAACGTGATCAGCTTTAACCGCTCGACGTCAATGTTGTAGCGACGACCCAAAAATCGCTCAATAACGTTCGTATTCCGTTCTGTAAATCATCACGTACATTATATCCGGTCTGCAACAGCGGATCGCTTGGCATCGGAGCCGATTATACTGCTGCGTGCTCGCTAGCTTATATTCTGTAATAGCGCGGTCACCGTGTACTCGCGATGTAGACCGGACCGAGAGACATCTTCTCTTTGTAACACAGTGGCTTCTGCGGCACTTGGACTGCTTCGGGAAGTATTGACAGTGTCTTGATAACACGATCAGGCGCCACTCCGCCAACAACCCGGCGGCTCTCGCGTACTCCATTACCACGGGGCTAATCGTATTAAGAGCGCGCCGCATCCCGTTGCGTCCCGTTTCGCATTAACATACGTGTAGATATACAACGCGGCCGGACCAATCTACATGCGCCCGCATGCCCCGACAATCTCGAAAAGAGAAAAAAAACTACGTTAATAACTAAAATGGCCGTTGAGAGAGAAACTTGAAAGTCAAGAAGGAAGGAATTCGGGGTCACGCTCTTCGAGTGTAGCGAGTGTACTCTGCGCTGTTCGCTGCGCCGCCCGACTTGGTCGACCCGGTATCTCTTGATGACGCTGCTCGAATTTTCTCTCATTTGTGCGACATTCTCAGCAAATTAATGAAATTTTTCCCGGCTTCTTGAATTCTGCGTTAGATGTATTTATACAAGAGCGTTATAAAATATTAATTTTTTACAAGCTGGTCGCTCAAATTTCCTCCTGACGTAATGCCGCCGATATTAAGTCAGCGAACGCCATCTTAAGTGTGTCGTCAGCAGTAGCAGCAATCTAATTTCACTGCAAGGACAACGTATATATTTCTCGACGCGAATAGAAGTGGGAACAATAGCGCCATAGAAAAATCGTACGGTCGATATGCTGAGCCGTGGTTTACATCAAATATACTATGATTGAATATCGCGGCACAATGCAAATTCATATTTTATGAAGCGGACTATATTAAATTGTTTAATCAGCATAGAGATGTCCGATTGTCAATCAGTTGATCTCGTCTCGTGATAGATATCAATCTCTGACGCGCTAATTCCAATTTATATGTTAAACTATGAAATTACACGTTCTCCCGCATATACGAGCGAGGGCAATCATGGGCTAAAGCGAAACTCCACCGCTACAGTTACACGCAAAGTATTAGATTTTACCACCATGAGTGTAAAAGTATTTTTACGAGTAACTCGGCAAGATGAGACAGTGTAGTAAAAAAAATTTGGAATATTAAAAAAGATTATTCAAAATTTACGTGTAATATAATACGTGCGTTGTTGCTTAAAGGATACGTTAAGTATGCGGATGAATTCTTACCGAATACATGAACGCGAAAATTGTAGCATAGCATTAATAATGGATTTTTGGCTGGAAGCTTTCTACTTCCAGCCAAAACGTTTATTCCACTTTAAGAAGTTTTAAGCCTTCGCGTTATTGTAATAGCGAAACTTCAAGAGAATATTTCCCGTTAAAACGAAGAAGAAACGCGTGCAATAAAGCGGAAAAGTCAGTTTCAGTGATGAATACTCACTATTACATCATTTGGATTATTACATGAAAATCCATTTATTAGTTTTCTGTTCACCAAATGAAAAAAGAGGGAAAACAAAAGAAAGAGGGAAATCAAAAGAATTCAATATGAGACTTTAATCCTTTTGTCGCTTATTTCTTTATCGCAGAATGTTTAAAAATAGCCAAGAGATTTACGTCCTACGTGTGTTTTTCTGTTCTTCATTTTCCTCGCTTTCCACAGAGAATTCGAATACAACTCCTACACTGTTTTCTCTTCCTGTTAGCGCAGGGGAATTATACGAGGACGTCTTATTATTGTCTCGTGCGCAGTTCTCTCTCGGGCTTTGTCGCTTAGTCAAATAGTAAGTGGCGCGTCCACGTCTTAAGTCTGACCGCGTGACAGGAATAAACGCTCGTCGCGACAGCGGTGAATTTTTCCATGCTCGCGTTCCTCTTCTTCCGTGACGACTCGTTACGAGACGCTTTCTCGAAGAGCTCGCTCGTGTACTACTATAAACTAATCCAAGGCGTTCCTCTGTATCGGAGCGGTCGATCCGCGTTTGCTCCCTCGCCGATGTTTCTAAACATTCTGAGAATTTCAATTCCACGGTGAAGAATGCGAACAGGAGCGAGAGGAGAGAGTCTCCAAGTGCCTAGCAAGTTGCGTTTCGCGGTTTGGAGCGATGACATATCGATCTGAGTCGAAACAGCCGATTGCGACCCCGATAGTTCCAAGTGCTTCACGCGCAGACGTCGTCACATTCATAACAAACGGTGACGTCTTGAGATAAGATTTCTCTTCTCGCCAAAGTTTCGAGACATGCAGGGAAGCGCGTTTTCTGACAGATAGTTTTGCTTCCAAGGGCGAAAGCGCGAGATTGTGATAGACGCAGAGTTGGGAAAGAAGCGCCGGATGGTATCACGTTTTATGGGCATCCAGATGGATGGACGACTTTTTCCATCAGGCGGATTGCATCTATTGTTGATGCGCGTCTGACTTGCATTCGAAGCAAGGCTCATTTCATCTATAACATATCTCTTTGCAAAGGGGAATCATGTCAAACAGAATGGTCGGTGAGCTTACAGAATTGCCTTGTTTCATCTCGAAAGATTGCAAGAATACAACTCTTTGTATATTCTATCTCATTCATATTCTACATTTTTGCAAATCGTAATGAGAACAAAAGGTGTTATGTTATCCATTTTATTCTCACCACATTTGATGAATTTATTAAATATTAGATTATTATATATTATAATTTACCTTTGAAAATATTATAAGTTTATCAAAACATCGAAATACATTTTGCTTTAAAATCGTTCGCCCTCGTTGAATAACATTTACATATTTTTATGCGATCGATGCAATTGTATTTGCAAGAAAAAATGTATTTTTTAAGAAAAAGTTTATTAGAAATTTAAATTGACTATACTTATGCTATAAGCGTAAATGAATACTCTGCGTGCAGATAATAAATAAATTGAATGTAACTTGAGAATAGCAGAGAATACAAGTAAGGAGAAAAGGAGCAAAACAAAGCGAACGTACGAGTTGTAAACGCAACTACGAAATATCGTGCACGTAGATAAACTTTAACAAACTGTGTTCGCTGACTTCTGGATAACATCGGTACCGAGTGTTAGTGCCATTGCGAGACTAGCCGTATATCTCACGTGCCACTCCGGTGGTTAAGAGAAAGTTATCGTATTTTCGAGCATTTAATTACTTTGTGCTGCATCTTCTTGTCAATAGAAGAGAGATACGTTTCGTTGCTCGCTCGGTTTGTATCTATCGGAAATCCGTCAGCCTAAAAGCTTTCTGTAAATTTATGTATCGAAACATATTCTTTCTGAATTTATCATGAATCAACACAAGAATATAGATAGAGAAGAGAATGTGCATATATAAAAGCGACACAAGTGTTTAATCATTAATAAAATGAGAGTTATTTACGAAGAAGAATTCAAGCGAGAGACCTTAAGCCTTGGAGAATCACTTTTATTATAATAGCTTTTGAGAACATCGCGCGCTTTTGTTACATACATACGGCGATTTTTTGTTAACGATAAAAGGACGGCAACAGGCTTCCACTTCAAAAATTGACTGAAAATTGCAACTATATTTCAGCTATGTATTAAGACACATGTGTCGTATACATAGAATGTATATGTACATTATCTTGCGCTGAATTACTCTCATCTTCTATTCTAAAAAAAGCAGTCTTGTTTCGACT